TTAATCTCAACATGTTTTGTCCTGTCATGTTGAACCGGATTGTGAGCGATGTTGATGGCGGCCTTATTATCACAGTATAACCGCATGGAGTCCGTCTGATCAATACCTAGATCACTCAACAATAACTTGATCCACAAGAGCTCACACACCCCTTGTGCCATAGCTCTAAACTCAGTTTCTGCACTTGACTTGGCAACCACATTCCGTTTCTTACTCCTCAAAGTAACTAAGTTGCCTCCAACAAAGGTGCAATATCCTAAAGTAGATCTCCTATCAGTCACTGAACCAGCCCAGTCAGCATCTGTATAGGCTTTCACACGAAGATGATCATACTTTGAAAAATAAAGACCCTTACCAGGAGTAAACTTCAAGTACCTCAAAATCCTCATAACAGCCTCAAAGTGAATCTGATGAGGAGCATGCATAAACTGGCTAACCACACTAACAGCAACAGCAATATCAGGACGAGAGTGAGAGAGGTAAATCAGCTTACCTACTAATCGCTGATAGCTCCACCTGTCAACAGCTACTCCTCCTTCATCATCCCTTAGTTTCTGATTGGGTTCCAGTGGAGTGTCACAGGCCTTGCAGCCAAGCATCCTAGTTTCCTTTAACAGATCAAGCACATATTTCCTCTGTCAAATAAATATTCCATCCTTGGAGCGAGCAACTTCAATTCCCAGAAAATACTTTAAGCTTCCCAAGTCTTTGATTTCAAACTCACTGGCTAAATATTTCTTCAACAAAGGAATTTCATCACTATCATCGCTCGTAAGAACTATGTCATCTACATAAACAATGAGTGTTGTAGTCTTACCAAGTGAAGAATGTTTCACAAACAAGGTGTGATCTGCCTGACTCTGTTTGAAGCCATATTTAAGCATAGCCTGAGTAAATCTCTCAAACTAAGCCCTCGGAGACTATTTGAGACCATATAATGACTTTCGAAGCCTGCATACTTTACCTTCTGTCTGATGATCCTCAAAATCAGGAGGAATGTCCATATATATCTCTTCTTCAAGGTCACCATGGAGAAAGGCATTATTTACATCAAACTGATGAAGTGGCCAATCTAGATTAGCTGCTAGAGAGAGAAGTACTCTGACTGAATTCATCTTAGCCACAGGTGCAAAGGTCTCCTGATAGTCAACGCCATATGTCTGAGTGAACCCTTTTGCCACAAGTCTCGCCTTGTAACGCTCAATAGAACCATCCGCTTTGTGTTTCACAATATACACCCATTTGCATCCCACAGGTCATTTGCCCTTAGGTAACTCAGTCAATTCCCAAGTGCCATTCTTCCTAAGTGCTTTCATTTCATCAATCATGGCAAGTTTCCACTCAGAGGTAGCAAGAGCATCTTGAAAATGGTTAGGAATGCTAATAGAGGAAATATTTGACACAAACGCTCTATATGAGGATGACAAATGAGAGTAAGACACAAAATTTGAGATAGGATGTTGAGTACAAGATCTCACACCCTTTCTCTTGGCAATAGGAACATCAAGATCAATGGACTCAAGAGATTCAAAGTTACCTGAACTCTCATTAGAAGCAGGAGATGGCAATGGAGGAGCAGAAGTGGTCTCTTGTATCCAGGTAACTTTATGTCTGTCTTTGTTCCGGACATAAATTTGCCCTTCTCTATCCTTGGTGATACTGGGTTCTGTAGTCCCAGTAGGAAATGGTGGTATAAGAACAACTGGTTCCACCATAGGAATCACAGGAAACACTTCACACCAAGGCTCCTCTTGAAGGAAGGACTGGGACACCGGAGAGGACAAGAAATAGGACTGGGACTCAAAGAAGATGACATCCATGGATACAAACCACTTACGAGAAGGAGGGTGGTAACACTTATACCCTTTTTGAGTAGGAGAGTACCTAAGGAAAACACATTTGAGGGAACGAGGGTCTAACTTACCACGAGTAGGAGAGTGATTATGGACAAAACAGACAACCAAATATTTTGGGAGGAATAGGAAACAAGGACGGGGAACTGAGGAGGACTTGAAGAGGAGCTTGTTTTTGCAAGACCTGAGTAGGAAGATGATTAATAAGATGGGCAGCGGTGAGAACATCGTCGCCCCAGTAGGACCGAGGCACGCTCATAGAAAAACACATGCACCGAGCCATGTCAAGAAGATGGCGATTCTTGCGTTCCGCCACCTCATTTTGTTGAGGGGTATTGGTGCAGGAGATCTGATGGATAATGCCATGAGTAGAAAAATATTGCCCTAACCCAGAATCTATGTATTCATCCCCATTATCAGAACGGAATATTTTGACAGTGACCCCAAACTGAGTACAAATCATCTTATGAAAATTGAGGAATACAGAGAAAACATCACTCTTGTCTTTCATGAGATACACCTAAGTAGTACGAGAAAAATTATCAATAAATGTAATAAACCAGTGATGACCTTTCACAGACACAACATGAGATGGACCCCAAACATCAGAATGTATTAATGAGAAAGGAACTATTAAAACTGGGAGCAAAAGAAGCTCTGTGTTGTTTTCCAAGCTGACAAGACTCACAAAGAAATTCAGACACATTATTGTTTGAAAAAATAGATGGAAATAAATGCTTAAGTAAAGAAAAAGAAGGATGCCCAAGACGCCGATGCCACAGCCATATATCATCGGTGGTAGTAGGACCCTTAGTGGAAGAATGAGCAAGCTTGTCTAGTTGATCCAGGAAGTAGAGACCATTTTCTGCACTACCACTGCCAATCGTGCTCCTCGTGACAAGGTCCTGAAAAAGACAATGATCGGGAAAAAATGTCACACTACAATTCAAATCCTTTGTAATACGACTCAAGGATAGCAGGTTAACAGAAAAATTGGAAACATGGAGAACAGAAGAGAGAGGTAAAGTAGGAGTGGCATGGACTAAACCTTTCCCAGAAATAGAAGAAATAGTACCATCTGCAATCCTAACTTTGTCCTGACCTAAAGAGGGCTTATAGGAAGAGAAAAGGTCAGAGGAACCAGACATATGATCTGAGGTACTAGAATTAATAATCCAGGGCAAAGTCGTATGAGACAGGAAAACACAAGAAGAAGAGACTAAGTTACCTGAGCGGGCAAATGACAAGGAAGATGTACTGAGAGCAGTAGAAGACTGGTGGTCCAACAAGTGATGCAGAACATCCTCAAGCTCATGAGTAGTCATGCTAGAAAGACCATTAGAAGCCTGGCCAATGGAAGTAGAAGTAGAATCAAGTGTATCAACGACACTAGACTGATGAGCCCGAGGATAGGAGCCACGTCCTCTAGACTGGCCTGACTGACCTCCTCTAGAACCAGACCGATCACCTCGACCCCCGGATGGAGTCCCATGAAGCTTCCAACATGTCTCCCGAGTATGCTGCGGCTTCTTACAGTAATCACAAAAGACAGACTTCTTGGCGGCAGACGGAGGGATGGGAGTCAAGCTGAGGCTATCTCTAGAGGTAGACAATAATGCTGAGCGGTCAGTTGAAATAGGGGACATCATTGCAGATCGGCGACTCTTCTCATTTTGTACATAGGCAAATGCCTCCTGAAGTGAAGAAAGAGTGTCCATACTCAGAACCCGACTCCGAACCGGATCATACTCCACATTGAGGCCGGCCAGAAACTTGAAGACTCTCTCCTGTGCAATGAACTTCTTGTACCCGACTGAATCAGCAGTGCAAACAGGCTTATAGTCCTGCAGGTGATCAAGGTGTTTCTAGCCATTGGTAAAGAAGGTGAAGTACTGAAGAACCGTCTGCTCCCCCTGAACAGAACTCTCAATAGAGTGGCGTAACTCAAATGCCTGTGAGAAATTCCCTTTACAGGAATAGGTGGCAGCCACATCATCCCAAACATCCTGGGCAGTCTCCATAGATAAGTAGCCCTCGCCAATGTCTTGTACCATCGAATGAATAAGCCAACCCATAATCAAAGAGTTGGTAATCTCCCATTGGTCATAACCCGGGTCAATTGTGTTGGGTGCTTGTATCCTACCATCCACATACTCCATCTTCCCTCTGCTCTTCAAAAACATAGTCAAACTCTATGAACACGCGAGATAATTCTGACCATTAAATAGAGAGGTAGTGATTTTAAGACTAGGGTTAGGGTTTTCAATCATAGTAGTAGGTATATGAAAACTCTCACTCCTGGGTGTCTGAGACGTAGTGGACACACCAATGGAATCTGCCATAGATACTGTATTATTGAACCCTCAACAAAACTAGTGCGAATCACAAATCCGGAAAGTGGAGGAATACAAACACAATGACCACTAAAAAAAAATTACAAACTTAAAAACTCATCAGCCCTTTTTTCCTTTACTGTATTTTTTTTTTGAAAATAAATAAATAAATTAAAGAAAAACGAGAGAGGTGAGTTACAGACCACAAACAGAGCTTCCAAGTCACGAACAAGTGACGAAGAGAACTCAGAGATACATCTTCACGAAGACGATAGACAGACGACAGACGACAGATGATAGGCGATAGGGACAGACCCACCAGTCGGAGGTGATAGGGACAGACGCACCAGTCAGGGCTGCCTAGGGCTCTCCTAGCCCAGTCGGCTACTGCCGTCAGGCCTCCTGGCCTTAGCTTCGTCAGCGATACTCTCAGTCGAGGCTGCCTAGGGCTCTCCCAGCCCAGTCGGCCACTGCCGTCAGGCCTCCTGGCCTTAGCTTCGTCGGAAGACGACTGTAGGCCTTAGCTTCGTCAGCGATACTCATAGTCAGGGCTGCCTATGGTTCTCCCAGCCCAGTCGGCCACTGCCGTCAGACCTCCTGGCGTTAGCTTCGTCGGAAGACAACTGTAGAAGACGATTGTGGAGTGACGATAGTCCTAAGGGAGTGACGATGGTCCTAAGGGTGTGACGATGGAAGATGACTGTTTGGTGTCTCTGCGGTGGCTCCGGTGGGTACTGTATGGGTAGAGGAATTTAGGTTTTAGGGTTAGGCTCTGATACCATGTTATTTTTGGAGAATACTCAATTAGGGAATGATTAGAATATCATTCCCTATATATATTAATGAATTTAATAATTACAAGGGAGCCCTAATGCATAGAATAATTACAAAAATAAGAGCCCAAATAACAATATTATTCTAACAAAAATCATGCATATGTTTCTACAATGCCTTTCATTAACTGTTTTATGCAAATCATTTGTGGCATCAGTTAAAAACTCTTAATCTCATTATTAGCATAAAAACAACATTTTTACTTTTCTATGTTAATTTCCTCTTGATTTTGTTGTTTGGTGAAGCACACTGACTTCCTCATCAAAATAAAATATATAAAGGTAGTCAAGTTGGACCCTTTTCAAAGTTGAACAGTAATGAACCTCTTTGATTTTGATTTTTTTTAATTATTTATTTATTTTTGTTTTGTTTTTATTTTTGGTGAAATTTTTTTCAAAGTAATTTCTTAAACAACCCCCCTTTTTAGGAAACACTAAAAAGTTGTTTTTGCACAATAACAAAATGATGGTGTTTTCAATCTTTTTAGTGTTTTTATTTCTGAAAATACGAAGAAAAAAGAAAAACAAAAATACAACCAAACATCAAGAATCTTTTCTTCTCACTACCATGCAGTTTTTTTATGAGCAATACTGAGGGCAATGGCTCATCTTAGATGCAAGTAGTTGAAGTTTCTGAGGCCATTCCTTCAAATGGTTGTATACATGAAGAAGTGAAAACTACAGATGAAAATTTGAGAAGGTACGACTCATTGGGATATAACTTCAATTTCTTTGAGCCGGAATTGATTTAATTTTGCTCTTAATCCCAATCAATTTTTTGATTTTCTGATTTGTTTTCTTTATTTTTGCAGAGATCAAGAGAACCTTGAGGAATTATTAAATGAAATGGCATTACTGAAGGAGAGGAACAAATCAATGGAAGGTGAACTAAAAGAAATGCAAGAGAGGTATTCAGAGATAAGTTTCAAGTTTGCAGAGGTAGAAGGTGAGCGACAACAACTTGTAATCACAGTATGGAGCCTTAAGAATGCAAAAAAGAGCTAAAAAAAATTTCCCATAAAACTGGAAATTGGAAACAATTCATAGATAAAGCAGCCCTGCCTAATCATACATATATTTGTAATACATTTCTTTTTCTTTCAAATCTTATTGTGTTCCTCATTGGATAAAGTATAAAAATACAAATAGTTTCCCATATATAGGTAGCTGTGCCTTGGCTAAAAAAGAAAAAAAAAATTTAATAATTTGCCTCGGTGTCTAATCCTTGTTCTTTTTGTAATCTTATTATAGCTTGTACGGATAATTATGTCACTTCTATCATTTATGTATTCTTTCAATTTATGCGTCGAAAGTTATACAAATTGGCTTCTTTTTATCCATTCAAGTAACAATTATCCATTCTTGAATCTTAATTTGGTATTGTGGGTGTTCTTAAATAGTTGTTGAATATTCTAGATTTGATGCTTGAAAACCAATCTATTACCTTTGGGATATGCCCAGTAGAGTTCAACAAGATAGAGAGCTCTTTCAAGTTAAATCAACTCAACAAAGCTCTTTCTTACGATTTTCAATTTTAGTTAAATGAACCTATTTCACAATCTGCTCTGTCCACAGCCATAGGTACATGCTTTTGGATTAAATTATACACTATAACAGTTTTACCTTTTGAGATTTGCTCCAATTTCTCAAAAACTTAGCTTGTAGATGAAGAAAAACTTTGGTGCTTTTGTGTGTTCCAAGTACTTGGTTTGAATAACACGAACATTTTATAAAACACTTGAGTCAAAGGTCATCGCCATAATAAATAAATAAAATGACAACTTAGTGCATGAGAGACTCTCGTTAAAATGTAAGCAGTCTTATCCTCATTTTTGAAGAGGTTGTTTGTGTGATTCGAATCCACGGCACTAAGATACTAATGACTAGCCTTACTGTTGAGTCAAGTTGTGGTTTAAATGTCATTCTCATCTAATCATAAAGTTGGAATATATGGTCATGGTATTATTATATAGGAAATGCTATTATATATTAAACTGGTCATATATGACCAACCAAATTTAAGTCATGTGTTTGGGTATGAACATAATTTATTCAGATCTGAGTACATTCAAAGTATCCTATCTAAGTACCTATGTAATATTTGGATCTGGAAAAAATAAAAGAAGATGAAGAGAGGATTTTGGGGCCTTTTTTTTTGTGTGTGGTAAATAGGGTGCATGAAATTAAATATAGAAAAAGGGTTTTGCATTATTATGAAGTATTATAATGTTTGAAACTTCTTACTCCAAGAAAAAGAAAGATTAAATCTCTATTGGTTCAACTATTTGATTTTCTTTGATTTGATTACTTAACTAGAGGATACCAAGGTAGCTGAATGGGGGATACCAAGGGGCTCTTGTTGCTAGGTCTTGAACTGTGTTTGGTAACAGGTTACTGTGAAATCTAAATCTAGAGAAGAAATCAATTTCATTATTGCTCTGTTTGGTTGCTGAGAATAGGTGGGAAAAGAACCTATTTAAGTTTGGAGTGCATTAATAGAATGCCTATCAGTCTGGGAAATACTTGTTGTTTCAGGTAAAAAGCAATGCAGAAAACAATCAAAGCCCTCCAAAAATTAAAAAGATATTAAAGCATTTATGGTAATAAAAAAAATGATACTCTGACAATAACAATCATATAATTGAAAATCTTTCTTGATGCTTGGCATTGTTGTGAGGTGTTTTATATTTTTAGTGTACACTCAAATGTACTCTAATTGCAAGCACTCTGCTTCTCTCCCATGCCATGACTATAGTCTAAGTTAGAGAGGAGCCAGACCCTTTTGCCAAACGCTCGACCCCTCTCTAGTTGACTAGAGTCCAATCATGAGAGGAGTAAGACCATTTTGCCAAAACCCAAAAGCACGTAACATCAAAGCTGTTAGACATGCACCCATGTCTTTTTCTATTCTGGAATCTAATTGGTAGCATGTATCAGGACATCATTTTTTTTGGTTTGGGAAGTGCCTTTTATTTTTGTTTCTGTTTCTATTCTAACTCTGCATGATAGCTAATAAATTCATTGAATAATTCTTTTGAACTTAATTTTATATATGTTACAAATTAAAAATACTTTAGTGTTTATCTTCCAGTAATGCTTTTTCCTGTCAACTCTGGTTCCACAAGACTAATACTGAAATGTTCTTTTGGCAAATCTGTATATGCAAGCTGCAAAAATTCTCTAGATTACAAGGTATTTGACATTGGTTGGCAATTAGTATTTGATATGGCTTCTGAATAATTGAGTAACCCGTTTTAAGTGATTTTATTTTAGAAATTAGCTGCAAGGTTGAATGAAGATGGAGTGTCGCCGGAATTTGGGTCGGTTGCCCTTGAGCATCCTAGTCCTGTCTCTATCCTTGATGATACAATGTGTAGGGATGATGCTCTGTCTCTTGTGAAACAGATGCCAGATGTCCTCAAAGGTAGTGCTTTGCTTTAGTGAGACTATATGGTTTGATATGGCAGAAAAACTTGAGCAGTTATTATTGAATTCCTGATACATGGCTCTATACAAGATTTAAACTTCTGATAGGTTTTATTTATTTATTTCAAAAATTGGTTTACTGCACAAGTTAATTTAAATATGCTAGGATAGAGTGACTATTATTATATAAACTTGACATGATCAAAGGAACTGAAGCTCTATCACTTTAATCTGGGTATTGAAAAACAAAGCATAAGTGTATAGTCATCTGGTTGTCCAAGGAAACTAATTAAGGATGTGAACAAATCTTGTGTGTTTTTTCTGTAATTTTGTAGAGAGAAGCAAATTTCGCTAAATTACATAAGGTTGTGTTTGGATCAAGGCTTTAAAGAGGGATTTGTAGAGAGTGAGAGAGAAAGAAAAAACAAAAAGGATGGGAAAAATGAATGAAATAGAAGCTAGATTTTTATCACATTTCCCTTTCCTTTCCCCTCCACAAATCCCACCGCAAATCCTAGATCCAGACTTTGTCCCATGAAGTTTTCCTCATAGGAAAAATCAAACCATGTCTATTGTGATTTGAATATCTGTTTTATTTTTGTTACACTTGAATATCATGATACATGGCTCTATACAAGGCTTAAACTTCTGATAGAATGCTCAACTAATTAGAGCATTTGAAAACAAGTCAAATTACAATACAGATGGATAGGTTTTTTTTTTTTTTTTTTAAAAAAAAAAAAAATGTAGTTCTAGCACCCTGAGTATTGCATAGCTTTGGACTAAAGTTGCAAGTTATTCATTACATTTGAGTGCATTTAGTAGTTCTGCCAAGTAATTTTGTCTTCCTTTGAATTTGCAGCACAAATATGGTCAATTACTCTGGGTAGCAGTGGGAAAAGGCAGAGTTATCCATCGACCATATCAACAAGACCAGTATTGTAGAGATATAATCTACTGTAAAGTAAGTCTTCCGTTCCCGCGTTTTTCAGATTTTATAGTAATCTTTTATTTATTTATTTTTTAAAATGTTTTTTATTTTCTTATCATGTTCTTTCTCTCCTTGAACAGGGAAAAAATTTGTACGAACCATGGTGCATATGAAGAATCTGTCTCTAGATGCTCATCCATTAATGCAGAATACGAAGCTAAAGCCTATGACACACATGCAGCTGTTAAGGGTAATTAAATCCCTATATATGAAATTTTAATTTTTTTTCCCCTCTATTTCTCAAACAATGAACTCAAGTGGGAAATATTATGAACTTGCAGATTCACTGATGCTGGACCAGGAAACTAAGGAGGAGATAGACTCCATGTCTATCTTGTGCTTGAATCAGTTCAAGTGTGTCAGGTAGAAGCATACTGAAAGCACAACAAATATCAGAAACCAAGCGGAGCAGTGTCTGAGGAAAGATTATTTGGTAGGCTTGCTTGCTTGCTTGATATATCTTTCTTAATGTGAGAATAAGATTATTAGGAAAATATTTTTATGTCTCGTGGTGTTAAAAAGTAGCTAGACATTCCTTAAATTTTATTCTAGGATTTTCGAGAAAAGGGTTTTTAGGCTAAGAAGCACGGACATGCAATTTTCAAAAAATACACGCATAATTTTATATATTTATTATATGTTGTATATTTGAATATTATACATCAATTAGGCACATCAATTAGGACTGTATATACTAGATTGATGAGACCTAAAAAAGTTTCATGTTTCGACAAATCTGGAACTTGCCTTGACCCTTTTAAAACCTTGAGCTACATTACATTACTTTTGAAATCACTGGACTGATGAAAGCACACAAGGACCAAAATTGGTAATTATATTGTTCCAACAAAGTTTTATTTATTTATTTATTTATTTGCTTGGGAACGGAGAGTTTATTAAATAGTGTAATTCTGAACAGGTTGATCAGCATACTAGTACAACTCCGAAGTTGAAGATAATAGCAATGCCTAGCTTGGCATCCATCGAGGAGATGAGAATGCCTGCAGTTGGAGATCTTATGGCGAATTTTACCAGACCAAATTTGGGTTGTACTGAAAGCAAGATCCAACAACATCAACAAAGGCTGTGTCTTGGAGCATCACCTAATAATAGAACGCCTTTTGCAGATGTCAATTTCTCTTAATGAGCTCCTTGATAAGAATATTTAGACAAATGAAAAACTTGAGCAACTCCATCTACTGTATGTTGTTGGATGAGTCTTAAATTCAAAGTGCAAACACACATATTCATTAACTAATGAGTTACAAAGTTTGCCAATTCTGAAAGCTGAGGGTGGCTTTATGTTATTCCAAAATGTATCTTATAAATTACTGTGCCTGAGGGATGCCTCTTGTAAATCTGTAAATCTTATAAAAAATATAAATAATTTTTAATTATTTTTGTCAATGCAAATTTATTGTTGCCAAAAAGTAAAGCTTTCTCGACAAACAACTTGTCGGTAAATGTGTTGTCAAAAGTTTACTTTTGCCGACTTATATTGTGTTACTAGAAGTGTCTTTTTTGCCAATGTAAATTTTTCGTTGCCAAAAGTAAAGTTTTCTTGACAAACAAATTGTCAGTAAATGGCAATAATGTGTCACCAAAAGTTTACCTTTGCCAACTCATATTGTGTTGCTAAAAGTATATTTTTTGCTAACGCAAATTTGTGTCGGGAAAAGTGCCATACAATCATCATATTTGAACTACTTTTGCCGACGATGGATGAAGCTTTTTACCAACGACTATGTTTGTCGCTAAAGGCATTGCCTTTACCAACGCAATGATAATTTCGTCAGCAAAAAGTTTTGCTGACTCACTTTTACTTACGGGTTGCCAACGTAGCTCTATGTGTCGGCGAAACTTTTTGCCGACGAATTTTCGCTTTTAGCAACATATTTTGTTGCGTTGCGAAAAATGCAATTTCTTGTAATGACAGGTTATTGGGGAACTTGGCTTGGGCATACTTACAGCAAAATAATTTCAAATCCTTGGAAGAGCATTTGTTCTGTATATGGATGACATTTATTTTTGTACAATCCTCGGTTTTGGAAATTCAGTGTTTTTGTATGTAATATTTAATTTAGATAGATTATACTTGGTTGGTATGGATTTGTATGATATTTGGAATATGATATTACAAGTTAAAGTTTTTGGATAGTTGATAATGAAATGGGTATTATTGATAATGGATTTAGATTATAATTGATAGATGTACTATTTTGTATATGTACAGGTTACAGGTTGTATTGATAATGAAATATATATAATTTAGAAATTAATGAAAAATATTCAATTTGTGCATTTTAAAAAAATTAATAAATAGCGCTTTTGGCGACTAAATATTTAGTTGTCAAAAAATAAAAAGGAAACTTGTTAGCTACTAAATAGTTAGGAGCAAAAAAGAATGAAAGTTTTTGGTGACTAAAAAATCAGTAGCTAAAAAGGAGCATCATAATTTTAGAAACTAAAAAGTTGGTAGTCAAAAAGGAGTGACACGTTTTTAGCTACTAAAAAATTGGTAGCTAAAAAACTGAAGATGAAAAATATTTTCTTTTTGACGACTAAATATAATTTAGTCACCAATTGGTGACTTTCGGCGACTAAAAAAAATTAGTCGCCAATTCTTTTGCTGACAATTAGTTAACGACCAAACGGGTGACCCAAAATTTTAGTCGGTAAAAATCTTTGGCGACTAAAAAATTGAATTTTGGTGACTAAAAATTTAGTCGCTAAAAGTGTAATTTGTTGTAGTGGTTAAAAGGCTCACGGGTCACCAATGCCAAAATCTTGGAATAAAGGTTATGTTTGATTAGTAGGATTATAGTGTAGAATTGAGATTGTTAGTCCATGGACTCAATCCCATATTTGATTGCAAATTTTATTAACTGGATTACATGTACGACGGACATTTAATCTAACGAAATTGACGAATTTTTAATATTGAAAAGGGGTTAGGGATCAAAATTTCAAGTATGAAAGGAAAAAAAATAAAATGAATACATAATAAATAGTTAGCTCACTAATTTAATTAAACAACTAATTATATACTAATTTATGAAATTATTAATCTTTTTACTATTCATTTTATTAATTAAACAAGGCCAAAGAGTACACTAATCATGTGATTATTATACTCACCTAATTTCTTTTATAGCTGGTAGTGGTTGTTTCTTTCTAGGATGGGAAAAAATTTCATAACTCAATTGGCAGGGGAAAAAATACTCCACTATCTACCAGTCGCAAGATTTATATCTTTAATAATTATGTTAAATTTATCATGTTTTTATATATATTTTTTTCATTTAACATTTGATCTAATACATCTATTACCATTAAACATTAATGACACTCATATGAGATTCACTATCAATGAACATGAATGTGCCAGATTAATTTACATAAACTTTGGTTATTTTTTATCAATAATTTATTAATTTATGATTAAAAAAATATAATATTATATATTTCTTATTAAAATATATATTTATTTTTATTTATTTCAATATCTATCTACCATTAATATTAGTTTCAGTTATTTTAACTATACATAAAAGAAGATTAGTGTAATTAATTTATAAGTGTAAGACTAATTGTATTTTTTTTTTTTTTTAAATGAATGTAGTTTACCTTAAATAAAATGTGGAATGTCATAAAATGTGGTATGTCAATGGGGTGGTTCATATTCATGTAGATGTATGTCATAAAAGAGTCTTGTGAGGTGCGCACAGGCATGTAACTAATGCTGTGTTTGGTTTGGAGATTTGGAGAGCGATTTGGAAACGGAAATGGAAAAGGTAGGTGAAATGTGAATAAATCATGCCTATATTTCACATAGTTTCACACACTTTTTTCCTTTCTCTTTCCAAATCCCTCCCTAAAACCCCCAACCAAACACAGCATTCTTTTGAGATGTTCATGTATGTAAATGAATGGTCCT